TGCTCAAAACAAGCAGTTACTTAAAACAGCTCAAAAAAATATTTCATAAGCTTTTTAGCTTTTCATCGAATTTGACATTTAATTAAAAAAAAACTTCAAACCCTTATTAATTTTAATTGCTGATTTTTAGAGGTGCTAGCAGACACACAGAGCCTAGCTTGCTGTTTGCTCTGAAGTCCAGTCTTTATGCTAAGCTAAGCTAACCAGGTACTGGCTCCTTCTACATATCTCCTGTACAGACATGAGAGAGGTGTAAATATCATTCTTGGCTTTAGCTATAACTTGCTAAATGGTTGTGGCTGCAATATTTCTGTCACTTTTTGTACGTTTCTACAGATATTAAGCACTAATCTGTATTTAAAAAACATGTTTTAAGTAAAATTTGATGTCTGGGGTTGTATATAAGGGTTCTTTTATCTAAAATGGCTTTAATTGTTGAATTTTTGCAAGTTTTTTTACATTTGTCCTTGTTTGTGTCCTCTACTCTCTGTAATGAAATAAAGCACTTTCTTTTTTTTATTTCAGTGTCCACTTTGTTCAATACTATTCTGAAAATGCATAAAGAGCATCCCCTAGTGAATCAATTATAACATTGCAACTTCTTTTTTGCTTTTCTTTTGTATCTTTGCTGGAGGTTTTAATCCACCAGCAGTCAGCTTTTCAAAACGAATAAGTTTGATAAGGTAGAATTAAATCTATTTAGTTTTTCAGAATCAAAAAAGTCACATTAGAATCAATCAGATGATAGGTAATATCATGCCGGTGATATCCGGGATATGTAGGAGACATGTAGGAAAGTGAATTGCACTGACGTAACACGGACTGTCAGATCTAGGTTGGTTCTACAATGTCTGTGCAAAGTGCATGAACCAGAGATTGCCACATCTTTTTATAATAAGATAAGAGATTATAAAAATCTATGTGAAGTTCAAGACTGTTTTATGAAATGGGAAGTTGCACTTCCAAATCAAATTCTGTCACCAAATACAAACAACAACAAGTAGGTTGTCTTTGTGTTGTTGGTTATTACATCAAGTTATCGCCTACAACACCAGAAACAAAGAATGGAAACAGTTAAAAGACCACAGTGTGTCTTTGTTGTCTACAGCTGTATTCAGGGTGATCAGATTTTTCATATTCAAAACTTTTCAATATCACATTGTGCTGTATATATTTAGTTTTTCACAGCAGTGTCACTTCAACCGTACAGTAAGGGAAGTGACTTTTCCCAGCAATCTTGAACGTACAGTGAGTAAGTAAAACCTTTATGAATGAACTTCAGTCTGACTCAGGCTGCTCGGCTGACCACACCAAAGAGCTGCTCCTGTTTAGAGATATGCAACGTTTTTCAGAGAACTTTCATGTTTTTCTCCAGCAGAAAGAAAAATCCAGCGTTTGTGTTTCGGTGATGTATCATCTTCTTTTCCTTGTTGCCACTCTGCTCACTTGTTGTACAGGTAAGCTATGTGAGAGATTTTGGTGTTTCTATAGTAGGGTTTGTCTATAATTGGCCTCAAATGAGTTACAAATACATGTGGTGAAAGGGGTAGAAATAGATTTTAAAAAGTTTTGAGTATCAGCCAAGCCATTAATCTGTAAAGTGGTTGTGTATTGCGAAATGACCGCATGTCAAACAACTTCCTTTATTCTGAACGAGATTAGAGGTCAGGCTTGAATGCTAAAACTTACAGATACACTTATTGAACTGAGTTTGCATCATACCATCATAATTAGGTAACTTTATTCTTATCAGAGTCATTCAAATATGATCAACCCGCAAAAGAAAGGCCACGTTTCAGAAGGGCATTGGTGGAAAGAATCTAAGAACATTTATTCAAGCAGGATCATTTTGTGGTAATTGTACTTTAATATTTCAATTGTATGCTACTTTATACGTCTACACCACATTTGAGAGTGAAATATTGTACCTTTCACTCAAATAAACCATATGATAATTTTATGAAAAACAACACATTAAATCAGTTCTCAACCTCTTTGATCATTTTGAAGGAAGAATTTAAATATAAAGTATTTTTACACTTTTGTATTGGTATTTTTACTTTTACTTACCCACTGTAAATGTCTTACTGAGGCTCAGCATAACAGTACGTGTCTTCTATGCGGGGAGGCAAACGAGGCATTTGATTTTATTTTTAAAGAGGACTGACTCCAGGTGCTCTGACTCTTTGTGTTTTCCCAGGAGATTCCTCTGTTGCAGGGCCACCAGAGAGCGGTCCTTGCCTTCCCGCTGTGACGGCGCTGTTATTCTTCCCCTGCATGTTTCAGACCCCACTTCGCCAGCCGATGATTTCCAACAGTGGAATGGTCCAAGAAAGCCTGCAGCCAAATGTCGTCTTCCTTGTACCGGGATGCTGTGAGAGCTTATGAGAGATGAAGAACCGCTCTTCCAAGTACAGGACTAGCTTCATCAACAAAAGAACTGAAGAAACAGAAACGTTTCATTAAGGCTTTTCACACGTGCAGCTGACTGATGCTGCGGAAATACCAATGCATGAGGCGTCCTGGAAGAAGCGGCCCCCGGGACGTTACCACAGTGGAGCTTGTTGTGGGTACGTCCAGCAAGTGTATTTGTTCATATCAAGTTCAGTCATAGTCCCTAAAATGTCCCCTGTTTCTAGCAAGGAGACGGGTCCACCCTCGAAGTTAAAGTAAAAGTAACAACCACTTGTCTTTTTTAGCTGGCAGTTTCTGAGCCAAAACTCTCAGTGCTTTCAGCTGAGAGTGGAGGAAAGACTCTTCAGTGTGAGGCCAGCTGCTGGCTTGCCGGAGCCTGAGGTCCAGTTTCTGGATGATCAAGGAAACAACATCTCGGCTGAAGACCCAAAAAGAGATCAAAATGCCCAGCGGATGTTACACTGTGACACGAACGGAGTAACCCTCCAGGATGCAACCAGACAGGTTCAAATTTAGTTTCATACTTAATTGGTTGTGGGAGTGTGATGTCAGCACTACAAAATAAAAAGTGACATTAAATCAAACATTAGTTAATGTGTCCAGATCATTTTTCCCAAGAGAAAGACCTACGCACCACAAACATGGGTCGATCATGTGTCATCTTGGTGAAAATTCTCACTTCAGTGGCCACACAGAGAGAGCCTCGCTAAACTGCAAGACTTTTTGCATAACAAATGTATGTTTTAAAACCAAACTTAAAACTTTATCTAATGTCTTCTTATCACAGGGTCACCTGCACGAGTTCACCAGCCATACACCAACCATACAAGGGTCAGCAGAGATTCTCATACCAGGTACACTGGAGCTTTAACAGCTCACCTGTTGTTATAGCAGAGTTTCATCATCATATTTGTAGTGTTTTTTTATTTTTATTTGTGTAATTAAAATGTTTTTTCTTAATGCAAAGGAACTATTTGGATTTCAGATTTTGTTGCTTAATGTTGACTGTTACTCATTTTGACAGATGGATTCTCCAAATACAGGAGCCATCTCTTTGAAATACATTCACCTTTTTCTAATTCTCTTATCTATCACTACAGGAAGGAGACTTCAGTTTGTTGAAACTGCAGGCAGTGGAAAAGAAGAAGTCTGAAAATATACTTGTGATAAAAGATGTTGTCTACTTGTGGTGTTTTTATTGAATATCAAATAATTTACTTTATTGTCATTTCAGCTGACTGTATGAGATCCTGCTCTCTAACCACTGGCATTGCTGTTGGAGAGGCCATTTTACTTCTCTTCGCCTCATTATGTGGATTAG